CCTGTCAGTAATTTCTTTTTCTTAAGTATGTCTGGATTTTTAACTCTAACTTTTTGAATTTATTGTTTTACTTTGTTTTTTGCATTTAAAAGTTGACCAACGATTGAATGCTGATTATGAGCCATCGTGTCAGAGTGGTTAGAATGCAGTATTGCAGGCTAACTCTGCTGACTGTCAGGGGTTCGATCCTCACCAGCTCAAGGTTGACTCAGCCTTCCATCCTTCCGAAATCAGCAAAATGAGGACCCAGATTGTTGGGAGCAATATGCTGACTCTGTAAATTGCTTAGAGAGGGCTTTAAAACACTATGAAGTGATATATAAGTCTAAGTGTTATTGCTATTTATTTCAACCCTTTGCTGGACTCTAATTGGGTTTTTTTTTTTTTCCCGTTTGATTTATGTTGTTCAGAATAACCCTTTTTCTCTCCATAAGGAAGCACAGCATGTGTCTGGATGGTGAAGTGCTTTCATTTGACTTAATATTGGACTCTTTAAAAAGGTAAAGGTAAAGCTTCCCCTCGCACATACGTGCTAGTCATTCCTGACTCTAGGAGGTGGTGTTCATCTCTGTTTCTAAACTGAAGAGCCAGTGCTGTCTGATGACAATTCCGTGGTCATGTGGCCGGCATGACTAAATGCCAAAGGCACATAGAACACTGTTACCTTCCCACCAATGTGGTCCCTATTTTTCTACTTGCATTTTTAATATGCTTTCAAACTGCTAGGTTGGCAGAAGCTGGGACAAGTAACAGGAGCTCACTCCGTTATGCGGTGCTAGGAATTCAAACCACCAAACTGCTGACCTTTCTGATCAACAAGCTCAGGTTCTTAGCCACTGAGCCACCACGTCCACTCATTGGACTCTTACCACAGATTTTTTTGTGCTTTTTGAATTTGCAAAATATTTGGAGTTTATCTGTTTTGAATTTTTCTTTTAATCTTGGATTGAAATATCCAGATAATATACTTATTGTTCTCGTCTGCTTCAATGTTTTTTGTTCCCTGATCAATTTACACAGAGTAACAATTTATCAGATTACAGGCAGGTGATGGTAGCTGAAATCTAAGAAAAGATTGGATAGTATGCAGCTTTAGGTTGAAAGTTTTTTTTTTAAAAAAAGATTGATTAGGTGATAATAGCCATGGAAAATATGCACAAGCATTTAATTTTGAATAAAAATTCACAAGAAGGCTCTGCTGTGAAAGTTGCAGACCAAAGAGATATTCCCACAGCTGAAGAACTAACTGAGTTGATCCCATACATCTCTTCAAAGTTCAAGCCTGCATATCTTTATAATACTAGGAGTCTGACTGAATGGAAAGTGACAAACTCTTTTTTCCTACAAACATTGAGGGAGATTGGAGGATGGATTTATTACATTTAACTGGAAACCACTTTGGACTTTCCTGGGAAAATAGAACCACTGTGGAGATTGAATCTATTATATTTAATCAGGCAAAAATTGATAAGCGATGGCATTAAGTAACAAATCTGGATATTTGATCCAGGACAAATTACTTTTAACTTTGGGGATGATTTGGAATAGATAATAAACTGTGGAAAACTTTCTATAAGTGGATTACAATAACGGTTTAGTAACAGAAAGTTTAAGCTTGTCATTATTATTGATCATTGCACAGTCCACCAGATGTTCAGACTGGATTTGGCATTTTTGTCTACCTATTGAGTCCTTTCCAAAGATCTGGGATAGGCAGAGGTGGATGTTTTATGATGTTACAAATATCGTGGCAGGATGGAAACTGTTCCCAGTAAAGCTGTCTTTTGTAATTGACTGATGGCAAATTTGTCAATGCCTATGGTGTTCAAGTAGTGCTCCAGTTGTTTTGGGATTGCACCCAAGGCACCTATTACTATTGGTATTATCCTTGCTTACTTTTGCCACAGTCATTCTATTTCTATTTGTAGGTCTTCGTATTTTGTTATCTTCTCCAATTCTTTCTCTTCTATTCTTCTGTTTCCAGGCACTGCCGCATCCACTATCCAGACTTTTTTGTCTTTCTTATCAACAATTGTTAAGTCCAGGCTGTTATGTGGCAGGTGCCTGTTTGTCTGGATTCTGAAGTCCCAGAGCAATTTAACTTCTTCATTTTCTATGACTTGTTCTATTTATGGTCCCACAGGTTCTTGCTTACAGGCAAATGATATTTCTTTCAGATCTTCCAAAGCACTATTGTTGGTTCTTTGTCATGCCGCTGCTTGTAATCAGTTTGTGTGATCTTCTTGCAGCAGCTTACCAGGTGGTCCACTGTTTCTTCAGCTTCTTTGCATAGGTGGCACTTATTGTTGCTGTCTTTTCAATTCTGGCTTTGTATGCATATCATCATCATCCCTGTTAACTATTAATATAATATATAGAAGGCGTCAATAATTTCAAATAGATTTACTAGTTTAACAATTTGGGAGGACTGTTTTAAGAAGGGATAGGAATCAATATTATAGTAATGTATTAATTATTATTCAATGGGGGAGGTAATATATGAGTATGCATTGGTTTTTTTCTTTTATTTTTGATCTACTTTTTAATGTCTTGATAGTTTTGTGTTTGCCTTTCTGTTTTGTCTCTTTTGCTTGTTTTGGAGTTTTGTGTTTTAGCTTTCTTTAGAATAAAATAAATAAAATTTAAAAAAGAAGTGAAAATAGTAGCTAGGTTTGGTTTATGATATAGTTCAAAATAATTAGATTAGTTCACAGTCAAAGGCAAACAAATAACTTTTTCTCCCAATATTATTTTAAACTATTTTATTATTCTGATGTATGACAAGGACTTCGTGGCGTCACTAGTAATATCCAGTTCCTTGCCTTAATCAAATATTGAAATGGAACTCAGGAGATGATAATTTATCTGTTATTTCAGATAACAATATGTTTTGGGGTGGTCCTAACTTTATTCAATTGCTTAGTCACTGTAACATCACTACCACTACTATATAGTTTGCCAAAGCTCTTCCCACAACAGCCTGCTGTATTGTCTCCATCATCAGATGTATCTCAGAAGTTATTTTCATTTTTAATTAGCCTGTCAGTGGCAAACTGGTGAGTAGGGTTTAACTTGAACCTTTCAAGAGTTGAAAAAGATGTGTTTAAACAGAAGAGGTGGTGAACAGTTAGCTGGATTCCAAGCGCAACCTTGATAAGCAGTGATGCATTAAAACAACAAATAGGCTGCCCTTTATAACACTCTCATTACCACTGGCCTCTTTCTACTGCACTTTAGTTTCAATGAAACATGCACCGAAACAGCAGTGGAACTTTAGAGTCAAAAACTTGTTGTTGTCAATTATTTAGCATTCCCATAAACCATTAGGGGTCGTCAAAAATATCTTTAATTGATTCCATCTCTACCTACACTACTTATTATTTATTACTATAACAAACTTCTCCATGGGAACAGCTAATTGTGCCTCCCCAGTGGCCACTTTCAGTGGAATAAGCATTGTACTGTGATGCCTAAGACGCTGTTGAAAGGTCTACAGTATTTGGGCTTTGATTAAAACTGTATTACATGTGCACATCATCAGGCACTGAGAAAACAAAACACTATATATATTAAAGGCCCTTGTGCTAAAGAGCTTAATGTATCCTTTTTTTTTTTTTTTTGGTGGGGAGAGGAGAAAAAGAGAGAGAGAGTGAGAGATTTTCAGTATCAAAAAAGCGAGAGAATATTTTCATGTCCTCTAGGGAACACATTTGTAATAGGAATAATACTGTATTCTCGTGCACAATAAGCAGACAAAGTGCACCAGCTGCAATAAGAAAACATTTTTCCCTCTGATACACAAGTAGCAATTGCGGTTTTAGTTGCACTTTTTTTAAAAAAAAAATGTCTTGATATTATTATTTTTTAAAGGAATTGTTAATCTGGTCTATAATAGAAAAGACAGATGTTAAGTAAATAATAGACTACACTTGGAGTGAATTGTTTTGTGAAAAAAAAGATTCCATCGGAAATGCCTCACAACAACAACAACAACAACAAAAAAGGATGATCGGGACAATAAAACATCCATGTTTATGTTTTCAAGAATGCAGTTGAGCAAGATGTGAAATAATATCAGCTGAATTATTATTTCACTGAATATTTTCACAACAGATGTAAACACTCTAAATAAAGGTGATTGTTTTAACATCTGTAAGTAATGAAAATGGTGTTTTGTACATGTGGGTGTGCCTATGGGTATCCTTGAATATTTTGTGATAAAAATATAGCATTTAAATGAGACATAATATTGAAAATTATTTCTGGAGTATGAAATAATTTATTTTATTAATGTAGATAAACAGATGGTAATTTCAGTAATAATATTGTAATAATACAATACAATTTATTTAAGGTTTCATTTTTTTTCAAAGGTTGGGCTTAACCTTTCAACACTTAGAAGTAGTTCAGAGACAGAACCATTGAAATGCCAGAGATTGAAGTCTGAAAAATAGGTAGGTACAAACAAAATATATTTTTATGTATACTGTCATTTAATTAATTGTAACTGTTACCATGCATTTAAAATTATCTTTGAGATATTAATTTTTTAAAGAGCCTTAGTGGTCATACCATTAAGTACCATTATGTTCATAGAATGCTCATTTACATAAATGGAGAAAAATGTCAGAATGTATTTTTTTGAAAAGAAAAAAAAAAAACCAGTGGGAAATGCAGTTCATTTGTAGGCAAAAAGTACCCTCCCTGATGACACATTCTTCATTCAGCGGAGACAAAGGGAAGACTATCAAAGACTATCTTGTCCCTCTTCTCAGGTTTCAATAATTGAAATTCCCTCAAGTGTCTCCATTACTCAAACTAGACGAATTGTGTAGACCAAATCTTGATAGATATGAGTATATCTGTCCTCAAAATGTCTTTCAAATTCATCTCAGCAAACTACCTCCGGGCCAAATTGCAAAAACCCATGCCCAGCGTTCAGAAACAATTCATCAGATGGCACTGAGAAGATCACTCATTAAAGACTCAGTTCTAATATGTTCAATTGGATTCATTCTGATTTTAATTCAAGGAACATTCCAACCAACCTTGTCCTCCTCAGCTGCATTCCAGGAATAAAACGAATTCATCAGACATGAGAACAGAAACTCCAATTGATGCCATTTTTCTACATTCAAAGAGTAATTTGGGTAGCATTCACAAATCTCTTGAAATCGATCAGTCTTCTAAAATATGGTAGTTTGGTTTTCACGAACTTAGAAATATCTGGGATCCTTTGGGATATTATTATCTAGTATATTTAAAGGAGAAATGATTTCAGCTTTACAAACTACTTTAAGATATCTTTGACATGTTCTGACATTTTGGTTTTGAAAATTTTCATTGTGAAAGCAGTCATTGAGCCAATTACTGTAGCATGTGCAAAAATATGTCCTTATTGAATTAATATGATGGTCAGATTTTGATTGTAACAGTAGCATACAGCACTATTTTGTGTGTGTGTGTGTGTGTGTGTGTGTGTGTGTGTGTATGCATGTATTTTGTGAACTATCCTAAAAATACGAGTTCCAGGTGTAACTATAAAAGAAGAGACAGACATCATGATCTCGGGAACTTAAAATATATTATTCACTTAGCTTTCATTAGCCTCTGCTAACATCGTCAGAGTGTAAAAACTATCATTGAAGAGATATTCACTTTTATGCATCATTGATCAATTTAGCCATTGCTAAACGCGATCAATAGGCACATCGACTTGCTACTGGCTTACCAAGCATTGAGGCACCGGGAAAGATCCTGCAGGATGAGCAGAGACCGACTTCTATTGGGGAGTAGAGATCGACAGTACACACACACACACACACACACCCTTTGGGCATGTAGATTTGTCCTGTGGAAGCATAGCCAGCCGGGGCCGAATGCCGAAGAGCCCAACAGAGCAGCTTCAAGCCATAATAGGCATGAATAATGAGTAACAAGCCAGGCCGGTTACAAGATCATGAGCAAAACAACAAACAAATTTGGTTAATATATCAAATGTGCCTGTGATGTGGAGGAGCAGTGGTGTGTGGGAAGGTGCCAGAGAAGATGCCGTTAAAGCAATATCTGACAGCTCAGCATCATTCCCTGGGGATGGGCAGCCCAAGCAGTGCACAATAGGAGTGCATGATAGAGGAAGCAACAGGAGCTAAGCCTCCATTGATTAACGCATCTGAAGTAAAAATTACAGAGCTAATTGAAGGTGGGAGGTGGATGGATGGGCCTATCATGTGTGCAATGGCTAAATTGATCAATGAGGCATAAAGGCGAATATCTCTTCAATGGTAGTTCTGACGATGTTAGCAGAGGCTAAATGAAAGCTAAGTGGATAGATAGATAGATAGACAGATAGACAGACAGATAAATAAACAGACAGACAGACAGACAGGTGATAGAGAGAGGGGGGGAGGGAAAGAGACGGAGTATTGTTATCATAACTATGGGGTGACAGAAAGGGGAAGAGAAAGACAACATAGTGATTTCAAAAATACAACAGCAAAGGGAAATAGTGCCATAAAGCAACTGTGAACAAGTCCCTAGAAGAGTAAATGTTAAAGCTTTTTGAAGAAAACATTTTATTCTCCTTCCCAAAAAGTTCTATTTTTAGTCTGAAAATTGAAATCAGTGAACATTTGGCACAGCCCTATTATTAGGATATGCCATAAATAAAGTATGAAGAACATATTCCAAAACAATTCTCCATTACAAAGCATTTTAAAAATAAATGTATAGTATCTATTTCTTCAATTGTACAATAGATTTTTCAACAGCGCTCTGTTAGGAAATGCTCATTAACTTTTTCTGCCCTTGTTGTGTCATATTGTGACAACATCATGATGTCATTCTTGCCTAGAAACTTGTATCTTTAATACAAGTTTAACTTTTACAATAAATTTAAACAATCCTTAGCCCAAGATAATTCAGTGCCACAAAACAGATAAAGTAATATCAAATCTGAGGCTATTATATCAGTTTTATTAAGAAACACAACCAAAGAAATTTTGCTGGCTGAAAAGTTGGGATGATAGGGAGATAGAGGTGAAAATTATCCCCTGGCATTTCTCAGGTACTTAGCATGGAACATAAGAAAAAATTTCTTACAGATGTTGTGATGTGAAAAAAAGTTTGAGCTAAGAAGGTCTAGCAAGTAATGAAATAACTTAAGTAATAATGTCAAAATATTTCAATCATGTTGAAAGCCAAAGTCTTTGAGATTGTTGTATTTAATGATCATGACACACTGTAATAGAAACTAGCTATGTAAAAGAAACCTATACCAGATTTCTACACTAAAATATATTCAGCCAAACACAAGCAGTAAAATCGAATGGAATCAAATCAAAATCTGCAGAAAACATAGGAATGTTTCTGTAAGATTCGTATATAAACTGATAATTATTTTACAATTTTAAGGAAATATATGAAAGATCTATAGAGCTATGATGGCGCAGTGGTTAGAATGCAGTATTGCAGGCTAACTCTGCCTACTGCCAGAAGTTTGATCCTGACCAGCTCAAGGTTGACTCAGCCTTCCATCAATCTGAGGGTGGTAAAATGAGGACCCAGATTGTTTGGGGGCAATATGTGGATTCTGTAAACTGCTTAGAGAGTAATGTAAAAAGCACTATAAAGCGGTATATAAGTCTAAGTGCTATTGCTAATACTATTATGGAATATGTTTTAAAGACATATTCTTTACAAACTGAGGACTATATTAGGATTGTGTTTTGTTTCAGATGGACTCAAACCCTACACAATGAAAGTGAGTTTGGGTTATTTAGAAAGCAAAATATCCAGCTGAAAGAAAGGAAGGCAGTCCTTGAGCAAACTATTTATAAGTAAGAATAAGCAAAGAATAAAATGTGCTTTAAAAATTCTGTATGGGCTTAATGTTAGCCACTATATACATTTAGGGATTTATGTATGACCCTTTAATTTCCATTGCAAATTCTGATAAACTAAAATTCAGTGCTATTGAAATAGATGGTACTAGCTTTCATCTGTACATTCCAAAGAAATGTGTCTAACTAGAAAGTGCGATAGACTTTATTTGCTGAAGTTTATACTATATCCTATGAAGATGATTAGCTAACAGATCACATGACCTTGAATTGCATCACACAATACATAATTATATTATTATACAAAAGTAAACTGTATTGTGTGATGCAATACATAATACAATACCATCTATCTATCGTGAGAAGGAGAGAGATGTATACTGTTCTATATTGATATATAGAACATGTGGAATCCATTGTTGTTTCTACATATGGTTCCTATTTTTGAGCTTACACAAAATGTTCAATAACACAGGTGCAGACATCTTAAGTGATTTAGAATTTGCCAAGGTGCATACAGTGTTGGTTAATTAGATTACTGCAATGGGAATAAAAAGAAGCCAAATAAATATTTCATTCTGCCATCTCAACTATAACATTATATATCATTGTTGCAAAATGTTTAGCAGTTTAACCCATTTGTATTAATACATAATACAGTACTTATTTTATACATTTGATCAGAATAAAAATAGAAGATTTAGTAACATGCTAGTTTCCACAATGTCAATTGCAGCACAGAAAACCATCTAACATCAAAGACCTTCCTTTTCAGCTAGCAAGTGACCTCATTGAGTGGAGGTCAGGGAGGTGGATAAAGAAATGAACCAAAAGAAGCCTTGGGTATATTAATTTTCTTCTTTGTTTGATGCAAAGCATTTTCTTCTAGACTCAATTCAATGTTAGCTTCAAACATAATCACTGTTTATTATAAGGTGTGCTCAATCAGAAACTCTTATGTTTACAAACTCCACAGATATTGGTTCTACTGATTGGTATAACTGATTGGTGCTCATCTAAATGGATTAGCAGAATCAATATAAACTCCTGAAGCTAAAATAGACAGAAAGAAGTAAAGGTTTGGATTAACTATTTTTTTCCAGGTCTCCCATCCTGTTTAGTCATCATTTTTGCCACTGCTACTGATGGATTTATTCTATATCTCTGCTGCCCCCTTCTTTTTTCTTTTTGTTCCTGACAATTCTTAAAGACAGTGATCATAAAAAGAATGCAGGATGATGGGTAAATCTGAAATGGACATTAAAGGAGGAGAACAAATATTAGTTAGGCCATGTGAAGCATAAATGCAGCGAAATGGAGCTAAGCTAGGTATTTTAGTGCCAATTATTCTATAACAAATAAAATAGTGAATTATATTAACATAAATTCCTTTTATAAGGAAGAATTCTTGTAAATTGTAGAAATGCTGTGGAATGGTTGCATTCATCTTAGAAAAGAGAAAAGGACACTAATTCTACTTTGAAACATCTAATGATTTGGGCTTTCCATATCAAACTATTGAATGGAAATAGTTATAGGTAATCATTTGATTAGAATCTTTCATTCAATGTCTGTTCAAAGTTACAATAGGACTGAATAAGGAGGAATTATGATGGGTCTGCAGAGTTCCAACCATCACACAGTGTCCCTGTTGTGATGTGATTGCTAGTGATTATGTCACAGCAAGTTACAGTCACATGATCATGATTTCCAATATTCCCTGCCAATTTCTCAATAGCAAAGTCAATGAGAAAGACAACAGGAAGTTGGAAGTTGTGATCACAACTTTAATGACCTGTGCAGTCCTCTTTTAATGACAAGAAGTCATGTTTTATCACATCATTTTGTGACAGTGTTCCCAGTCCCATTGGCTATCACTACCTGAGGACTACCATATATTACAGGATAAGCAGGGATGTGATTACTTCTCATTACCTCACTTCTCAGAAGAGAAATTTATCAATGTTTTGCTGCTGGATAACAGTCAAATAGCCATAGGATTATAATCAAATTAATTTAGAAAATAAGTATTAAAATAATTTCTTTGATATCAACTTTTCTGCAACTTGTTTCAACATAATTTTTGGCAGCCTATACTTAATACCATCCATGTTACTTAAGCATGGAATCTAACCTAGAAAATCTGGAACCTTATTCACTGGCCTTGAGTCAGAATCATATTATTTGCTTCAAATCTTTTTAAAATCATCTTTAACTTAGAAATATTTTGTTCTTTGAGACCCAGATGAGACTAGAAAACAAAGTATTACATTGGTTTGCTTATCACAGTTATCAATGTACTTGTCTCTCTGAAATTTCCTGTGCTAACAGAAAGGAAATGTACTATTAATAGACAGGAAATGCATGTTTTGACTTTGCTGGTTGCTCTGAACAATGAATCACTGAATCA